TACGCAAATGCACATTTTGGACACTAGCAGCATTGCCCAAGCTTCATTCTTCAATAAAGGCTTAAAAGACAGTACTAGATCTAAATTTATCTTAGTGTATTTGTAACGGATCTTTAGCTTTTCCCCCAAAGTTTCATATCTAATGTGATGATGATGGCAAAAAATCAAACTCAAACACAAAGAGAGCGGATGCATGCAGGCCAGCTACATCTGCCCCACGAAAACAAAGCCTCCACACAGAAGAAGAGGAGGAGGAGGGGGTCCGAATCGGGAAAACCCTCTGCAGATGCATCACACAGGGAAATACATACTGATTAAAAAAAAAAAATCAACGCCTCAGATCATTTCCAGACTCAAATGAGACCCCTGAGCTAGCATGTTTCCATTAAGATAAACAAAGCGGCCAACGTGAGCGACCTTCATTGATGTGCATCTTGTCTCGATAGCCTCCGAGCGGCTACAGGAGGATGCAACTAATAGGAAAAAAACAGGTCAATAGTGAAGCATTGACCTGAATGGAAGCAGTAAGAGGACAAATGTTTTTCACAGAGGCAGCAAAGTGGCGAGGCTGTGTCGCTTTACAAAAGGTGGAGCAGGGCAGGCTTGTCATGCTGCTGCTGCTGCTGCTCACAATAGTAGCCGTCCAGTTAGCCGACCGGGAGTCACAGCAAAGCCCGTTTAGCCGCTACAGCCGGGGGAAATTTTACACTCCAATTTAAAAACAGCTTTTCAAATAAATAGCTCGTAAATATAACCGTGTCACCTCTGGGTGTTTTTATATCAACACTGGAAAACCCCTGGCATCAGTGGACGTGCAGCAGAAAAGCTGAAAACCGACTCTTTCTGTGTTTTTCCCCTCAAACTTCACGTGAGTAACGGTCGACCACCTAGCTTAAAAAAAAACCCCGGCTACATATCGGATAAAAGTGAAGTGTGCTCCTCACTTACCCGGTCCTCTCTGCTGTTAGAAGGCGTGCGTGTGTGTGTGTGTGTGGAGCCCAGCCCTGCCGTTGCTGCAGCTCAGTCTGGCTCTGTGCGGTGGCCTGCTCTCCCTCCGTTGCTCAGCAATAAGCTACTCCCCGCAAAATAGCGGCGAGCGGAGCGACATCCTGAGAGAGGAGGTCAAAGCTGCGCAGACACCCACAGCGCATCCCTCCCTCCTCCTCCAAAATAAAACCAGAGGCGACGCTGAGAGGAAGTGACAGGGTGTGTATCCAGGCAACCATACGCACATGCGCACAGTTTTATTTACATTTTTTTGACACCAAATGAAACACTTATTTTCCACTGATGAACCACTGAATTAAAAAAAAGAAAAATCAAAACAAACAAGTTATTCTTTGTCATGTATTATGCAGTGTTGCAGAGATCAGTACAGTAAGTAGGGAAACCCAGGGCAAGATGCCCCCCCTTAGGAGCAATTCTTTTAAAATATAAATATTTCAATATCGATGTATGTTCACATGAAGTATGCTTAAGTGAACAAATTTAGCAGGTACCTCAATAATACCAGAATACAACTTTGTTAATATAAAACTAAGATTAAAACCTCAAATGGGGTCATCCTCCCTAATGACCTCACAAGTGTTTTGATCCATACAAAATTGACGGCTATGCATAACCCTTGGTAAGACTCACATATAAACAGTTTTTAAAAGTTTGTATATGTATGTTCTTAAATTTAAAAAAAATAATAATTTTGTACTATCCAAATAATATATCAACATATGTCAAAACCACCATTTTTTATTATTACTTCCCACCAGAAAAATATTTAAAGATTAGCAAGAAAAGTCCTAAAGTTAACCCCAAAAAGAAAAAAGAATTGATTTTTGACTTGTTTGAATAATAAAAACTGTTTTAATTTATGAAAAAGTAAATCTGTAGTATGCTAATCTGGACAAGTATGTGGGTCAAAGTGTGGATTTTCTCAGAAGCAAGAGACAAAAACTAAAGAAAAATTGATAAGGTTTTCATTTAACCTGATCATGTAGATTGTTGGTGTTAAATTACTGGCACATTTTAAATGTGTGTATAACAAATAGATGCATGCACACATATGCACATGACTCTTCCACAATCTACACTGTAGTTTCACAATCACTTTATTCCTCAATATGTATAACTATTTTTTTTGTCTATTTTTGAAGAATGTGTTTTTTTCATATCATATCTTGTTGTTATTGCATAGTCCTGTGGACTTTGCACTTCACTGCCCATACTGTATGTGACAAATTAAAACTTTTGAATCATTTCCTGAATCAGTTGCAGGTGCAATCGTGGCCTGTTTGCCAATTTAGGATGTCCAACCTGTAGTAACATATGGATTATAGTATAGAAGTTGTAAATTGCCCAACAGATGGTAAAGTAGATGACATCAGTGTGCGCAGACTGACTCAGAGGATTATACTCCTTATGGATCTCATCTGCTTTTCCAAAACAAACCTTTTAATTTTGAAAGTGAACATCTTGAATTCCTGTGTGTGCGGTCTGTCTCTGTCCAGCTTGACTCCGTCCATCCTCAGCAGCGCCTGCGTCTACACTTCCAAACGTGGATGCTTCCAACTCAGCCAGAAATGCTGTCAGCCAGAACCGGGTGGGCGGGTTTCCTGGACTCACTGCTTCACGTTCCGGGGTCTTTTGTTACTGAACCACCACCTGGGCTGCGCAGCTGGCGGTGCGCTGGAAGTGAAGGCAAGACCTGCTGCGGTTCAAATGAACGAGGATGCCCTGGAACCAAACATAGACTGAACCAAACAACTGTAAAGGATAAAGTTAAATAGGGATATTTCACTTAAGCATGCATTGATTTTTTTTTTTTTTAAAACGACATTTAATTATACACGTTAATGACATTCGCACCGCATCATGTAGAAGCTTTAAAAAACTATTCACATCGTAAAAGATGTAATTAGTGCATTTGTCACTAATTTTGTCACTGATTTGTTTGTTTTGCTGCAGATGAGGCGAGCCTTCAGGGAAGCACCATGCAATAGACGTGGGAATTATATTTTTCTAAATGAGCTTTACATACGGCCAACCACTAATTAAAAGTTTAAACATTTTTAAATTATAGTTTTTAAATGTGTGTATCCACTAAAACAAAAACTGATAACATGATATAAATTTTAACGTCCAAAAAAATTCAAAAACCTCCTGTTTTGTCTGACACGCTGACGCAATGACGCTCCCTCCCAGTGGACGTAAAGGCACTCGGTTTTAAGTATGTGAAAGTGCCGGCGGGGAAGGCGGAGCGTTTGTTTCGTATTTATTTTGTAAAAGTAATCCGCGTAGGGCCCTGTGATCTTTTATAATTTTATGCTTCAAAAAGTGCCTTTCAGAATAGTGGCTTAGAAATCGGCATTTGCTTCAATTTTAGCTATAAGCATTAATGCTCCTTAAAAACCTACTAAAATGAATCAAAGTTTACCAATAGACAATGTGAATGGATTAAATGTAATTTCATGTTACATTGTTAAATTTACAACAAAGTAGTTTAAATATTTCTGACAATTTTAACGATTTTAACCAATGTTTACGCGATATTGCTTTCATTCCGGTAGATGAGCTAACACAAATCGAGCCACCCCTGTCCGTTGGAGGGGCGTTCGATGTTGGAGCAGGAATGCGCAGCTCCTGGCTGCTGTTGTCAGCGAATGGACGGACAACATGGACGACCAGCGGGACGTTCAAACTTCCAGGCGAAACGGGAGCTGCAGGTCGCTGCTATCAGCCGGTTCCGCGGTGGCTATGGAGATTAAACGGAAGAAAATACGACAGAGTACGCTGTTCCTACAAACGGAGGTATGAGAAACGAGACACGGAGCGGTGTTGCATGTTTTAACCGTAATGACAGGTCGGTTGACGCTTGCGGGGGTGCAAAGTGCAGTAACGTGACACGCTAATACACGGTTACTTTCAGTTTACACAGCTACTATACTAACATTAGCTTGTTCGATAGGTTGTGCTCAAATGACTTAAATCTTCTAACTTCCTTCTCGATATTTCATTCACAAGCTGGCTTTCAGTTTTTTGGGGGGGACAAAGCTAGCTACCCAACAGGGGAGTTGCCGTTTCAATTGTTATTCGCTCCGTGTTCCCTCTGCTTTGTTGAATGTTGCTCTAACGGCCCTCAAACTAATGTCCTTTCAGGCCAAAAGCATGAAACGATGCCCCAGTCTCCTGAATGACACCCTGCAGATAGTAGAGGATATGAATTTGTTGTACATACGACAGATTTCTAAGAAGCTACAGGTGCATATTGTAGTTTGTAATGTGGAGAATGATGATGTCTGGATGCCAGAAAAAAAAACCAACTGTGTGCATCCGATTTATCACCCACCAAGATGACCCCTTTTTCATACCAGACTGAAAAGATGATGTTTTAAATTGGATTGAGGTTGTGCCAAAACCTGATTCCTCATCTATCTGCATTATTTTAGCTGTTCGGAGGCCTGCATTATAACCAATCCAGTTGTTTTTACTCGTTAATACAGCTTCAAAGGACCAATTTAACTCTTATACAATTTTCCACCTGCTTACATTTCAACCTACATTGTGGCTGTAATGTTATTACTGCGTAAAAATGGCTTGATTCTATTAATAAAGGTGTATTTCAAAGGTTATAGCTCATAGAATATGTGCAAAACAGATCACCGTCTTTCATGTATAAAATCCATCTGAATATTAGACATTCCCAACACATACAGACTACACATCAGCAGCAATACTATAGCATTGCCTAGATGATTAAATGCCATGTCCGATTACACTATAAACTGCAAACATATCTTTGGCCGCAATTATTCAGTTACAATACACATTAAAATTTCACAAAGACACACCTCTGCTATCACCACAGGCGTAGAGTTATGTGAATTTACCTAATGTGACTGCTTAACCCACATCAAAGCAGCTCTAAACTGCATTACAATATGTTTTTGGAAGGCGATCGCTTTTTGGCACAACACTGACAAATTAAAGTTGTTTTCATCATTGATTAAGCTGTTGATATTTTGTTAAAATAATTGATTAGCTTGTAACAGTTCACCTATTAATTCCGAGGTGACAGTGTCACAACGCTCTATATAAAGGAGACGGGCGGATCTATGCCTCAGCAGGGGTGAAAATCAGACACTGTTATACATTTGTTTTGGCTCAGAGCACAGCCTTTTACTTTACACACTTTACTCAGACCCGGTCTGCCAATCCAGAGGCACTGTCCCCGACCGCCACGCGATGTTGCAGAGACGTGTCAACCAGGACAGTCCCACAACATCCAGAGACTTGAGGTATTCAGGACGGATCTCATCCACCCCCGGAGCTCTGCCACCGAGGAGCTTTCTAACCACCTTCGTGACTTCCGCCCGGGTGATGGATGAGTCCGCCTCTGAGTCCACAGTCTCTGCTTCCTCTTCTGAAGACGTGACGGCGGGATTGAGGAGACCCTCGAAGTATTCCTTCCACCGCCCAACGACCTCCCCAGTTGAGGTCAGGAGGTCCCCACCTGCACTGTAAACAGTGTTGGTGGAGAGCTGCTTTCCCTTCCTGAGGCGCCGGACGGTTTGCCAGAATTTCTTCGAGGCCGACCGATAGTCCTCCTCCATCCCCAGACACAACATAGCAAAACGACACGGCTGAAAAACAGTTCTTTAAGTTCAGCAAACAGCTCATGGCCCGTCCGGCTTCATATAGTTCAGCCACCACCTGCACGGCTCTGCAAGGCCGCAAACAAATGCACGCCACAGTACTCGTGGCAGGTGGCCGATGCCATCAACAGCTGGACCAACTCACGGCTCTGCGCATCAGCCCTCCGTTGAATGACGGCTCCGGTCCTCGGCAACTCCGCGAAGCGGTCCGTCCTCCTGTTCCAACACCTTTAGTTATTCCAAGAAGTTCCAACAAGCAAAAATCCATACTCCGCAGCCAGGTAACTCCGGGAAACCTCCAAGTTGGCGTGTGTCGTCATCCCACTACGTGCCACCGCACGTGCACTGCACTCACCTAAATAGAGGTTCATGCAAAGCCACGCCCCCAACATACATTTGACTCAATAAACAATACCTGTGACCCCAGTGACAAAATACATCTACACTATTTCACCGACAATCATAAGGCATCAATTCACCCCTGCTGGGTGCCTATGGAGTGAGGACAGACTGGGCCTTTACAACTAACAACATGACGTCCTCAGATGTCTTGTTTTGTCCAATAGTTGTTGATTAATTTAATACTTGACAACTAATCAATCAAATCGTTGCCGCTCTGGAATAATATGACTTTAGGCCTGATTACATCAGACATCATCATACTCCATTTAGGCCACAAATACATTGGCTAGAACTACAGTGATAGATTTTAGCCTGCAGTTTTTCTCATGCTTTTAACACACCATCCATATATTTCCATTCTGCTTACAATCTGCTTAAGATCATCTACTTGATCTAATTATACTCCCATAAAGCATGTATGTTGGTCATTATGAAACCACCTCACCTCATTCTGCATGCATCATTTCACCAAAAAAGAAGTTGCTCTTGAGTGAGTGAAAAATGTGGCTTCACTGCCACAAATCTAACATTTTTAATTAGCGTATCACTTCCAGATTAATTATGATGGTACCATCTTGTGGTGGTAGCTGCCAGCGCTGCTTGATGATCACATTTCCTGACAGCCTTGTGATATTATGTTGTTTAATAATAGGGCTGAATGAGCAATATGCTAAATATATTGCAATTATCTTGGCAGATATTTCAGTATAAGTTATCATTTATTTTTTACTAAAACAAATATAATAATGATGAGATGATTTTTGCTGCATTCTGCATGTTTCTTTACATCTGAAAAATGTGATTTGTAGGCCAAAGCATGCCCATAGCACCACAGTGCACTTGGCCATACTGTGATTTTGTTAACATTTTGATTAACTGTTCCGCCTTGTTTTATATCTTTCATGCACACTGAACTCAGAAAACTTTAATTCTGTTTATGCCAGAAAGACACTGTCATTCGTCAGTCTTTCCTCTTTTCCAAAATATGCAATCAGCATATGCCAGTGGGTCATGACTATAAAAACAAGCACAATAATATGTTAATTCTGCTACAGGAGAGACCTGATGTTCTCAGCAATTAGGTGGAAAAATATGTGCATATATTTTTATTGGCATCGACAGTTTGCCAAAAAAGACTGCAAGGGAGTTTTTTCTTGCCAAAACCAGCATTCAAGGGCAACTTCACTTTAACTCCACTCAAGTCCAGCTTGTCTCGTTCTGTTATACTGTTTGACAAACTAACCCAACTGAAAACATCACAGCAAGCTGCCAGACTGGTGATGGAATAATTTGATCAATGTGAAATTTCTTCTGTGTGATCTGTCCAATAAGAGCACCAACATACAAGAGAAGCTTGACTTTGAGATACGAATGCGAGAGGGAGCCTACAAGCTGCTGCTGGCTTGCAGTAAGAGAGAGCAGGTTCTCAATGCCTCCAAGAACCTGTTGACCTGCAACGCCAGAATCAAGGCTTATCTCACGCAGCTGCAGAAGAAGAAAGAGGAGCAGGACATGATGGGAGCAGTCAGAGGGTAAGGAGGGGGCTTACAGTGTTCTACAGTGTGGGAAAGGTCATGTAAAAGTTGTACAGTTTCCATACCTCGTCTTCAGAGTCAGTATAAATCATTACAACATAGTCACAGATCAGATTGTAATATATTACAAATCTCGACTTTGATGAAGAATGTAAGTTTTGGAGAGAAAGTGAAATAATTAAAAATGAACTGACTAGTTAACACTGAATAGAGTGGGTTTGAGAAAGATTGTTTTAGATCTAAAATACCGATTTTTTTTCCTTTGATTTCAATCTATTTATTCAGTATTGTGATCAGTTTTAATGATAAATACAACATTTTATTACAGAATTTCAGATCCAGCTTCAGAAGGCCGTTTTCCCTGTAGTGGGACAATTGCAATGTCTGGTAAGATTGTTCCACCTTTTTCCAATTACATTCACCCTGGACACCTTTAAACCAATATGTTGTATGTAGCACAAAGTTGAGTTAATGTAGTTTCAAAAAAATGAGCTGTTAAAGTTAAGAGTGCTGTTGATTAACTTTCCCCCTATCTGCTCATGTAGGGCTGCGCATTCCTTTGATGTGGAGGGATTCTGACCACTTTAATAACAGAGGAAGTACGTTTGCCTTAGTTTTGACTATAATTCATGCCATCTGTTTAGCTTTTTGTCATGTTATTTTGCAGTTACTTGCTGCACTAATGCTTTATTCTGTACATTCTTTGTCAGGCTCTCGTCGGGTGGCGGTGTTCTGTGTGATGCAGATGGGCTCAGAGGTGTTTGACACCGATATGGTGGTGGTGGACAGATCAGTCACTGACATCTGCTTTGAGGGAATCACCATCTTGTAAGTATCTTTTACACAAGTCTATGACTGTAAAATCACACTATTATATCAATAGCACAGTACGTATTAGATTTTTTACATATATGCACTGACTCATCTATGGCTATACCAGTTTTGTTTTTAGTTTTTCGTTAATCTTGAGCTAACATACTTCACATACATTTTAATGTTTGTGCTCTAATTGAAATTCTTGCCCTCTCTCACAGCAAAGAAGCAGTTCCACAGTTTGAGCTGAAGGTGGAGCTGTGGAGCTGCGCCCTGGAGGAAGAGCTCACTTTGGTAAACACGCCAAAGAAACTGGCCAAGAAGTTCCGCAGCTCCTTCGGAAAGAGCAGCGGGAAGAAGCTCTGCTCCCTGCTGGACACTCCAGACCCCGACACCTTCCTGCAGCACAACCCAGTACCCTCGTATGTCTTGTGGTATCTCATAAAATCCTTTATAGGCTCTTGGCTCTCCATGTAAGGGTTTTTTCAGTTGGGAACTAACTCGATTAGACTTGTTACTGGAAGAAGGGGTGTAGCTGCAGGCTTTGTAATGGTTCTGTAAACAAATCACAGTGAATGTGTATTGAAACAAGGATTAAACCAATATTTGGGGGTTATGAATACTGATATGCTTAGCCTTCAGACATTCATAGATTTTTTTTGTGCCAATAAATAGAGCTGTTTTATTGTAAAGTGCATGCTTTTAATGTTCCCACCTGCAATTTATTAGCATCAAAGAGGAACGGCATTCCGAGCATCAAGTTAGACTCTGAGCCGAACATGTGTAAGTGATACGTACCACCTGTTAAGTGGTAGGAGAAACATGGGACTCATTCGGTTATGTGCATATTTTAGGGCTGGAGTCGAGTTTATATCTTCTATGGTTAGGCAAGGGAATGGAAATAAGTCCGTGCAGCATACTAGAAGAATGCTAATTCTGCGTTTGTGTGTCTACCTGCACCAGCGGAGCCAAATACAGCCTGCTGGCCTACACGACACTGTGTCTGCCCGAGGCTGAAGGCAGCTTTCAGTCTCACTCCCTCATTGTCCTCCAAGACGGTAAGAAGCAAAGCCACAGAAATTTAATATCTGCGGATATAAAGGGATTATGCTTTGTGGCTGCTGATATGATTCAGTACTATGGTAATGATACAATATTTTTACACCATTAGACTAAAACCTAAAATTAAACAAAATAACCTATAATTGGAGTTAAGCTTGGATTACTTTTCTTCCGCTGCGTGAGTGATTAAATGGATAAGAAAGTTGGTGTTCAAGCAGGTATTTTTTATCCAATCTTAATCTTACAGAAAACTCTTAGTATGAGTTTGCACCGTGGCAGTTACCCTTCAGGTCTGCAGGACATATTATATATATTTTTTTTAATTACTGGTATGACAGGAAGCTTATATTACAGGAACAGGTAATGACAGTGCTATAGCATTTGCAATAAAATGTTTAATTTGTTTTCTTTTCAAGACTGGAATGATTCTTAACTTTTATTTGTACATAAAGCATACAGTTTTGTATTAAGATTAATGAATGTATACATCTATATGTTTGTTTTGTTTTGTTTTTTTTCTTCATTGTTGCAGCCGAGTGGTCATCTTGGCTCCCACTCTACGGTAACCTCTGCTGCCGGTTGGTGGCCCAGCCTGTCTGCATGACACAGACCATGATGACTGGCTACCTGAACCAGAAGGTGTGTTGACAGCTGCTGTTGTGTTAGTAGCCTGAGCTCCATAGCTGATTCCCAGTTGGGTTATTCGATCTCAAATAATGATCAGGGGCTTTCTGCACAACTGTTTCCGATTTGTTTGAAACTTTATCATAAACTATGGATATTTAAAATGGTATCTGTGGAATTTTAAACTCCAATATGAAGTACTTACTGAGATAATTTTTTAAAAATTGCCTGTCAACCCACTTTCATCAAGGCTGTGTTTGAATGACAATAACCCGGGAACTATTAAAGATAAAAGCCTGAAATTTTCACAGTTATTTCTCACCATGACATTGATGCAGAATGTTCAAAATTGGACAAGTAGATCAAATAGTCTCTGAAATATGGTTTGAGTTGAAATATCAAAAAGACTTTATAATATTGACTTGCTGAAAGTGGGCGGATGGGCAGTTTTAAAAAGTATTTTTTTTATAAAAATCTCCAATAGTGTTTGATGTATCGAGCTAAAATTTCACAGCTATCTTTATAAATGTCTAGATTTTATGCTGTAAAATTTTCTGAGAAATCAGAGTAGAAATTGCTCTAAAAAAGTGATGATTTAAGATGAAATGATCTGGTTTAGACTGATTGTTTTTTTTATTATTCTGGTGATTTTCAGCAAAGCATGGAGGGGATGAACCGCTGCTGCAGGCTTTACTGTGTGCTGAGTGCTGGCCTTTTGTCCTGTTACTTCACCCCAGAAGAAATTGACGCTAAAGTTCAGCCAACTCTGAAAGTAGCCATTAATAAGGTAAGAGCAAATAGTAAAAAATAAAATGAACAGTTCAGTTACTCTGCTGAGGTTGGGAATCAAATTAATATCTAACTATTTTGCTCTGTTAAGTAATTGCAGTGGAAGAAGTTACTCTGGCATTTCTGTTTTTGTCTGTTTTTGCTGTAATTGTGCCGTCTGGTTAGAGGGATTTTTTAAATTGTGTAAACATCAGATTCAATATTATTGATTTAAATCTCAGTGCAGCTATTTTCTTAGAGTTTGCAGACTAACCACAATAATAAATGCCACATTACTCACCGAGATCCTGCTTGCGTCTTTGACATTTTGCTGCTGAATTAGAGTTTTTCTGCAATATCAATAATGTGCTTCTTAGTGCAGTATCGCACATAAAGCTCTGACATTTTCAGCCTATCGTAACTTATTTTTCTTGCTTCTGCAGGACACCCGCATCCGAGTGATGGAGAAAGAGTCAGGAGGTCACAAATCCAGGAGTATGTCCATCATCAACCCTTCACCAGAGGGATCTGAGACCAGCGTCTTCACCACAGACACCAGGGACGAGCTGGAGGACTGGCTCGACGCCCTCCACCAGCACCTCTATGATCAGGGTGAGCGTGTTTTGGTGTTAAACTTGCAGCACAAAGTGTTGTATATAAAAAAAATAAATAAATCCTTGAATGTTTCTGTAAAAGGTTTTGTGTGTTTGTGGAGTTCGTAAATCAGTCTGGACAAGAGAAGTGGCTGCGCATATATTTAACTAAACTGCTTTTAGCCAGAGCAGATAGTATAACCTTTATCAGTGTGTCTCACGTCTATCCTTGTTTATGACCAGGCCAGTGGCTGCACTGCTGCGACCAGCTAATGAAGATCGAGGTCGCGTCACCACGGAAACCATCACTCTTCCTCACCAAGCAGGCTGACTCTGTTTACAACGACCTCAGTGAGTAGAGTAATTGGAATGAGTGGCTGAAGTGAGTTAGACGAGGCTTGATAATTTGCTGACTCTTTGATGTTTTACACGTTGCCCAGCATTTGCATGTATGTGTGTATTTAAAGAAGATATAATTCAAATGTTTCAACAAACGAGAAGCTTAAATTTATTAACCACACCTAAGTTTTCATTTCAGTGATGTTGAATGTAAAGAACATCTTTTTACATGCAAATCCGAATATTGGCTGGTGCATGTTTATGTGTCCTTTATGCTGTTATGATATACTGTCTGTATTTTAATAGTACATCAAACAGCGAACACACAACCGCAATGTTTCCTCGTCTATTTCACTTCATGTCAGTTTATTTTATTTTACTTGCAGGTATAAATTCACCAAGCAAGTTTGAGGGCATCACAGATATTATCCACAATAAAATTGAGGAGACAGATGGCCGCTTCCTTATTGGCCACGAGGAGGAGAAGGAGGCACCTAACTGGTCCACTCTGTTTGATGGGTCCCACTCAGTGGTAGTGCAGAAGAGTATTCTGTCCCAGAGCAAAACTTCCACCCCTTGTTCAAGCCCCAAACCCAACAGCAGCTCTACACCCAACAGCAGCAAGAAGCGGCGAGCTCCACCCCCTCCATCTGACAGGGAGCCTTATGCTCCTCCCACCCGTCCAGCCAGGCCTCCCCTCCCTCCTTCTCTTCTTCATCAGCCTCTTCCCTCAAACCAGGAGAAGGAGAACTCCGGTGCTTGTGCTTCCCGTCCCACTGCAAGGTCCAAAACAGGCCGACCGTCCCTGGATGCCAAGTTTTCTGCCATCATCCAGCAGCTCCAGTGGAACAACACCGGAGGAGCCGCAGCTCTCAGCAGAAAAAACGCTCCGCTGGGCGTCCTGGATGTGCACCCGCAGGGTCAGCCTCAGCCCCCTCTCCAGCAGCTGGACTACCAGAAGCACCTCACCCAGACCCCCGAGGCCACAGCTGATCACGGTTTCATCAGAGCCAGTAACGGTCCTGGTCCGGTTCCTGCAGCACGAAGCAAGCTGAGGAAGTCTTTCAGAGAGAGGATGAACCTTAAAGCGTTGTAACCTCAACCTCAGAGCAAATCTATGTTTACCTAATTAATCCTGCTTTACCACTAATACAAATAACAGTTTGAACTTTTCGACTGATAAAATCACATATCACACTGTATTTGACTTTACCTCAATAGGACTGAAAGCTCCTCTTCATGTGGGATGGTATTTGACTGTCGGTGTGGTCCGACAGTATTTGAAGGGATACATTACCATTCTGGGGACTAAGCTTACCTGCTTTCAAGCAGATGAAAAATACAATCCCATATAAAGATAGAGCAAGGACAGTTAGATTAGAATAAAGCTTAGAAAGAAGGAAATGGTGAGTCTAATTCAATCCAAAGGTAACAAATTCCACCTATGGCACATATAAACCTCATTAATTAACCTAATTAACTTTTTAAATCCAAAAACCTAAATGCAAAAGGAGGATTGTGCTTCTCCTGTCATGACAAGACTCCAAACAGTCACCACTTCAGCACAAATTGCATAAAAAAAAAACTACTAATAGATGTTTTTACACTTCATTTTTTGTAGCTACATGTTAATTGGTGAGTTGTAGAGGTGCTAGCAGATTTTGTTGCTTTTGGATGGAGCCAGGCTGGGTGTTCCCTCCTGCTTTCAGTCTTTATGCCAAACAAAGCTATCTGTACAAACACATCATACACTGTAAGCACAATTCCAAAGCGTCAGACTCGTTATAACCTAAAGGATGGGTGGGTGATGATCTTACAAAAAGATCCTCACAGTGTTAATCATGACAACCCAAATTCCAGTTGGCACCTCTTATCACAATATCAATACTGTATTGATACGTGTCCTGCTCCACTTTCCATTTATACACTTTCTCATGTGCAGCTAACCCATAGATGAAATTGAAAGCTGTATGCTGGCTTGAGCACCACCATCATCAATCCCACTAAAATGGAAAGGCTTATTTCTCAGCTCTGCCACTGGAACATGGACTGAAGAAAGAGCCTTTGCAAAAGCACTCAAATTGGAATTGATCCATTGGCCAACTGTGGATGAGTCATTCCTGTTGGAACGATTGACTTATTCTACTTACTGTGACGACTTTATGACCACTATAGCTGATTTTAAAGGAACGCGTTTTTTAGGAGCAATTGCAGGCACTAATGTGACTTCTCCATTCCCCCAGAGGTCTTAATAATGGAGTGACCTTGGTTTTCAGTGGCTACACAGTATGTCCAACATAATTTAACAGAGCAGCCAATAAATGCTATGAACATAATTGAATGAATGAGCCTTTTGAGTGGCTAAAATAATGAATGCCCTTGTGTATGTGTTTTGAACATATCCAGTACTGCCAGCCACTAAATATTTCAGCCACTTAACGATATGGTGTTGAAGAATGGTCTTTATAATTACACACAGTGTACAAAACATTAGGTTTGGCTACTTGCTCTGAAATTGCCTGCCCAGATGAAGAAGTATGGTGAAGGCTACAGTCACTTTTTTTTTTTTATATCTCACCCTCCAAATTCTGTTTAATTTAGAGGGGGAGATGTAGATTTGGGGGGGAGGTGGATTACAGGGGGATTTAGTTTAAGCCTGGAAAGAGAGAAAGGAAGAGAATGGATTGTACAAAAGGGGATGCAGCTCAATATTAGCAGTGTGTCAAATGTTTCTTGTGCTCGGTGTGTGTTGCTGATGTTTTAGTCACTTTGATCTTGTGCTGTAGAGACTCTACCTGCAGAAACAAGGGAAAGGTTCGAGGCTACAACCCCGCAGCATTAGTTTTTACTGATGATGTGGTTACGTCTCGGGCCGTATGATTATCACAGTAATTATATTGCACTTTCTCTATTAAATTCCTGGTCGTTTTCAGGGAGACTAAGCGTGCTAGAGAAATGCATGTCAGCATTACTGGAAGGAACTGTGAAAGCCAGCATTTCTACATTATTTGGACAATTAACTGTGTAGCCCTGGTGAATTTATTTCAATACAAGCATACGGGAAAGGTGGCCTCTGTGGACCGTGGACAGTAAATGGTATAATAAGAATAAAATACAGCTGCTCTATGAATAAGTAAAAGCTGAAAATGATCACTTTCTCACATTTACATTCCTTTTTATAAAGCGCTTTTTAAAATATGTCTTCTTTTCTGTATTACACGTGACAAATAAGGGTACGAATGACTGATTGTTTTCATTGTTGATTATTTTGTTCATTGTTTCCTTGATTAGAAGAGAAAAGAAATCAGAAAATATTCACATTTAAGAAGCTGGAAATAAGAATGTACTTACTTTAAATACAATTACAGATTAATCAATGATCAAATTAACTAGCAAATGATTTAATAGTTGACAAGCAATAAATAAACTGTTGCAGCAATGTAGTTTTGGATTAAAATGTTCTGTAACTTTTATTTTTTATAGTGTACTGCCGTCTTGATGTTGCTTCTGTCGTATTAATTATGTATTTAGATGTTCACTGCCACTGTGTTCTTTATGTACTAGTAGGTAGCCGTACATGAATCTTGTCCTAGCGCAGTATAATTTGTGTATAGTGCCATGTACAAACGTAGTTATTTTTGATTCTCGAAAGGTGCAATTTTCTCCTCACTCTCTGTTGTCTTGGAAGTTAACTGTATTTTTTATTATTGCTGATCTGCAATAAAACGGCCTACATTCTACCCTGGTGAGGCTGCTTTATTTTTGCTGAGCTTGGAAGTATTACTGAATATTTTTCATGTTAAAGGTTTACCAGGGGGTGGCAATAAAAGTCAAAGCATAGCTTTTATTGCAGCCCAACACACATCCCATAGAGATACATACACTGGCACATTTCTCTACTGCAGCAAATGCTGGAGAGGCTTCTCTGGCTTTGAGCCCAGAAGTAGCCTGTTGTGAAGATTAAGGCGGATAGAATCTCATAGCCAGATAATGGTATTACAATAATAAAACCCCATTCACACTGCATTTACTCAGGAAAAAAAAGAACATTACATTGACGTTAGCACACTGGCGTTAAATGTCAGTTGTTTTTTTTTTTCTTTTTTTCCAACCCTCGCTATTCATCTGCAGTTCAGTTAAAAAACACAACCGAGGAAGCGTGCGTAGATAGTAAAATATTTTAATTAAATATACAGGAGGTCATATCATACAAAATGTCTTTATTTTTTTGTCTTGCTCGCCAGCTGGGTGATTGGTAAACAGATGGCTACTGTATCAAAAACACTTTCAGGATGCACATTAATGGAAACAACATGGGAAATAAAAGTGAAACGACAACAAAGAAAAAGAGTATCCTAATTCTTAAATTGTAGTGTTTGAATCTAACGTGATCACGGTGACCTTGAAACAGAGCAAACAAGGACACAGCTAGATTGTGTAACCAACTTTTATACTGTTTTTTTTTTGTTTGTTTGTTTTTTTGAATACTATTTACAGATTATAACAGTTTATATGATAACAACCACGCAGTACTATCTACAGTGCTATTTACACAGAAAATAAGACGAGAGAGAGGCGTTGCCATGAATTGATCCCGCATGTATGTTCTGTACAGGAGCCAGCACTAATGCCAGTTTTACCTACACACAGCAATGTACAGTACTTAATCAGAAATGAATGTCTTTAAGTATTCAGTAAAACTTTACAAACAGCTTTTTTTTTCTTCTTCTTCTTCTTCTTTTGAAACACCAGACATGTTCACTGTGTATTTCGACTATCCTGGATTGCAATTATAGTGGTTGTAAAAGCCAGCGCAGGTGTTGTCTTTGCACCTCAGGCTACGGAGCATGGTAGGCATACTTTATGAAGTCTGATACCTTTTCATCACTGCTAGAAAACACAGAGAGCACACATGCCCTGCGGATGACAGACACCAGACTTGTGTCAGTATCAGTAAATCTTGCAGGCTCTTGTATAATTGACTGGCTGACACAGTTAAGCTCAGGTGAATAGAATCATTTAAGCACAAAAACGCTAACCATTATAACCGTTTAAATGTTTAAAAAAAAACAAAAAATTATTTTGTGCCACACTCATTAAGTCTGGTGTCTGATAGCCAAGTGTGCCATGTCGTTTTTGTATGAGTGTCTGTGCGCTGCGTTTCAGACAAAGAGTGACAGTAATATTGACATTCCTACCCTGCTACAGAAGATAAACCTTAACAACTGTAGTGCTAACTCTAATCCAAGACTGCGAAAGGCACAGATATTTGCAAAGCAGTAATATCCTAAGTGACAACATTCCTATCAAATCATACAGTGAGTCTTTTCAGCGTGTTGAATAAAAGAGTCTGTTCACCAAAAAAAAAAAAAAAAAAAAAAAGCCAAATTAAAGAGCTTTTCAAGTCAAGAACAAAAAGATGAAATGCTGATTTTTTTTCTTTCTTTTTTTTTTTTTCTTCTTCCGTGGTGAGCATTCCACAGCAGACGGCTGCTTCATTATGCTGGTCCTACAGACAAAAACAAGCCGCTACAGTCTACTCATCACAAAGGGTTTTCGGGGTCAAATTACTTTTCAATTTAGAAACTGAAAATTAAAACGGCTTTTCATTAACTCCTAGCAGAAAAAAAAAGAGAAAAAAAAACATTCATGATTCGTCGACAGATCGAACATGACAACTGCTCGTGTTGTATTTGAACTCAAATACGTAATGAATAGAAACCTGAACTGAGTAAAAAGTGAGTCTACAGTACATCTGTCGTACACAGCACCTCTGAATGTTACGTCGTGATGAAACTATTCGTGTTATGCAGCATCGCAGTGAGTGTTAATGTCTATTCCGAGGGTGGATTTAAAACTGTGGCACAAACGGGCGACAGAGTTCAGCGTGGAGACATGTAAACAGATACAACACCACTGGCTGCTTAAAGAGTAATAATGCGCTAAACAGCTCTTGAACATTGTTTGCGACGGTGAACGCACCTCTAGTTATATAAAGGATTTCATTTACGTTGTCGTGTTACTTGTAGTGTTCTTAAGCAACAAAGTTTAGCCCTCAGACGCAGTAAACAAATGGCTTTTCTCTGTTGCCCTCCACTTTTCACACATCCAGAGCAACAACCTGACTCATGGTAACTGAGAGCGGCAAACTGATTCGTGAGCACATACACAT